TTATTTGCATTTTTGTTTGTTTTTGGTTTTGTTTAATTAATATTCTTATTTGTGTTTTTTATATTTTATTTTTTATCTTTATTATATCTTTTTAAGTTTTCCTTTTGGGGGATGCTACAAGGATGAAGGGGATTTGGAGGTACAGGGAAATGAATTAGATTTGGATGCATTATGTGAAATTCTGAAATAATCAATAAAAAACATCATGCTTAAAAAAAGAATGCAATCTAACGTCAGGATTTAGCAATATATTACATATGAATAGAGGAAAATAATGGCCCCACCCTCTGACCCCTAGAAACTGGTCCCCAGAAGCCCTTGAGAAGCAAGGGTGCACTGGCTGCAATGGATGTTTTCTTTGCAACCCTGTCCCATACCTTGACAACCTGGGGGATGCCCACTTTTCCTGAAAGTTCTACACTGCTACTCCCTTCCAGCACAGCATCCTTGGTCACTTCAAAGGCCTCTGTCACCACATGCAGGTCCTTTATTCCCATCCTGCAATCCTCCACAAATGATGGCTCCCGATCCAGAAGTTTCCTAAAGGTGTAAAATGAGAATGAAAAAATCCAAATGGCTAATTTCATAGAAACAGAGAACAAATCACGAGAGACAGAAAAAATCCCAAACAGAAAATGTGAGCCAGCCTTTAAGAACTAAAGAGATTGAGTCAGCTTCAGGATGGAATGTGGTTCAGTCTATAAAGTGATGGCCAGGCAAGCATGAGGACATGAATCAGATTACTCAGGAGCCACATTACAGCCCAATGTGGTTATAGTTGACTACATGCTACCTGTGCTTGAACTCGGCTAAGACAGTAGACAGTAAATGTTCTTGTCATAACAATAACAGTTCCTGAGTTGGCAGGATGGCTCAGCACGTAGAGGTGGTTGCTGACCTTAGTTTGATTCCCAGACATACACAGCAAAGGGAGAGATCTGACTCCTGCACTTGTCCTCTGACTTCCACATGTAAGCCATGGCATGAGGGTGCACACATATGCA